TACCATATGAGATTGCTTATATGTGGAATCTAAAAACAAAAACAAAACAAACAAAGCATAAATACAAAACAGAAATAGACTCACAGACATAGAATACAAACTTGTGGTTGCCAAGGAGGCAGGAGGTGGGAAGAGATAGACTGGGATTTCAAAATTGTAGAATAGATAAACAAGAGTATACTGTATAGCACAGGGAAATATATACAAGATCTTATGGTAGCTCACAGAGAAAAAAATGTGACAACGAATATATACATGTTCATGTATAACTGAAAAATTGTGCTGTACACTGGAATTTGACACGGCATTGTAAAATGATTATAAATCAATAAAAAAAAGTAAAAAAAAAAAAGGATGCCAACTGATTAACAAATGCATCTGAGTACTGGTTCTCTAGTTAGAGAAACCAGCAAAATAACATGAGAGATTCCTTTTTACATGCTTTAGTTTCAGGCAGAAGTTAAGTCATATCCCTTTTATTTCAAAACATTAACTGTATGAAATTGTCCAATAAGATTCATGTTTCCTGCTGTTAAAAAATTAAATAAATAAATAAATAAAAATGGAGAAAAGTAAAAAAAAAAAAAGAAAAGTAGCAGAACTCAGTAGATATATAGACAAAATGGTAATTTTATTTGGAGACTTCAACATGCCTCTCCTAGTCACTGAGAGAATCAGTAGCTAAGAAGTCAACAAGAGCACAGAAGAACTAAAGAACACAGTCATCTAATTATTTCTAAATGACATATAGTATAGAACACTCCATCAACAGCAGCAGAATACATTATTTTTTCAAGTATACATGGTGCTGCATCTTGGGTCATAAAACTCACATTAGTATATTAAAAAACTGAAACCATAAAAATATGTCCTCAGACAATAATGGACTCAAACTGGAAATCATTAACAGAAAGATAACAGGACAATCTCCCAGTACTTTGATATTACACAACACACTTCACAAACAAGGGGACAGGTATAGGTGCCTAGCTGTAGAATTCTGTAGACTAGTTCTGCCCCTTAGTGGTACCAATGGGGTTGTTCTTCCAGAAAGTGATAAGCCCTTCCCCATCAGAACTTGGATATACATTACAGGCTTGTGTTTAAAGTGCTCCAGGTTCTTTCTAGGCAAAGGGGACCAATATTTGCTGGGAACCTACTATAAGCTGTATTAAACTTGACCATTCACTGTTTTATTTAATGTTCAGAACCGCCTATCACAGTGTTGTCTCTCAGTAAGTTACCAGCGCTGAGAGGCAGGGAAGCAGCTGAAGACTGTTGGGAGAGTGTTGGATGTTGGAAAGAGTTTTAAGGAACTCAGAGCAGCCACAGTTTCGAAGCCCTGACGGAAGATGATTATAAAGAAGTGGAAAGAGGCTACAAAAAGGGTTCCACGTGGCTCCCTAAGGATTCTAAACTCGGGAGGCAGCTGGGGATTAGGGAGAAAACTAAGCCGAGGAATATTTTAAATGATTATTTTAGGGGAGTGAATTGCAGAGTGAGGAGGCTGAAGGTGAGGTGCTCAGTCCTTGAGGAGATGGAAGAAAGTCAGTTGTAAAGTGGTGAGGGTTTAGGTAATTACATTTTACTCATGGGAAATGCAGTCTCTGAGAAGGAAAGTAAAGCATTCCCCACCCACCTTGATAATAGTATTAAAAAAAAACGTGATCATATTACAAATAGGATGTGCTAGCAATGTGTACCATGACACACAAATGACTTAAAGAACGTATCATGTCTGGCACATTTAAATAGTACACAGCACAAAATTGTACCCCTAGAAAGGGCAGATGGAATCACTAGGTGAAGGTGAGGAAAACAAGGCTCAAAGCGGGGTGTACCCGGGAGCCTGCTTTGGCGTCAGAGCCCTCCCCATCCTTCTGTCCTCGGTACCCAAATTGGCTCTCGCCCTACACGTCAGGGTGAACCCAGGCAGCTTCGCCTTCTCTTACCCGCTGAAGCGACAGGTGAACTTTCTTAAAGTCCAGATGGAAGAGGTGTCCCACGAAGGGCAGGCGCGGGGGCCCAGGCGGGTAGTTCTTTGGGCGACGACTTTTGAGGAAATCAGCAAAGAAGACAAATACGACGGCACCCAGCAGGAGAGAGCGGAGACAGAGCAGCCCCCAGACAGCGGCTGCCACGGAGCCCAAAGCTGCAAGCATGGCTGAGATGCCGGCTACCTCCTCAGCGTTCTGCGCAGGCCCTGGTCTGAGGCGGGGCTCGGAGCCTGAGCTCCCAGCCCCGCCCCCTTCCCGGCCCTTCCCTTGGCCCCCGCCCCCGCCCCGCCCCGCCCCACTCCAGGCAGTGCCTTCCCCTCCCCGCCCCCAGGTCCAGCCACCCTGACACCTCCCACTCCCAGTTCCCATCCCGCACTTCCCTGCCTTGCCTGCTTGGCGACCAGTAGCCAGGCTTCTGCCAGTGTTCAGGGCTCTTTCCCCAGACCCGCCTCCTGCTGCAACCGCACCACCCACACCGGGTCCTCTCCTTCCCTCCTCCTGCATCCAGCCTGCCTGCCAGCCCCACCAGAAGCCAGAGGCCAGATTCCTGGGAGAACATGACCAGGTTTTGGAAAAGGCCAGTCTTGGAGCTTTTTTAGTTGCTATTTAGAAAACTTGTCTCTCTGTGAGATCATGGGCCTCTAGGCGTTATGGTTTCATTGTATCTGAGAGTGGCACAGACTTTAGAGCTCTCTGTTTCTCAATCACCCTCTCACTCACTGATTGGAACAGCACCTGGTGAATTTTAATCAGGGTAACGGCAGCACCTGACATTTCTTGGGCGTTCACTATATACTAGGCGTTGCATCAGCCTCTTTCCATAAATTGCTCAATTCCGACAAAATTATGCAGATGCTTTCTTCCTTCCATCTTGCAGTTGCAGAAACTGAGACAGAGACACGTCCCAAATAAGTGGTAATAAATGAACCCACTGGTCTGCAAGACATCTTAGGACTCCCTGGATTTGAAGATAAAGAAACATGTGGAGCTGGCTGGCCCTGTTTGAAGTCCATAAAATCTTTTGTTAGAGCAAGCAAGTAGAGAGAGATGAGCAGAGAAAGAGGGATGCAGGCCAAATGGCAGGAGCTGGGCAGAAAGGAGGGGCACAGGCCAAATACAGAAAACCATATGTCATGTGAGCACCAGGGGTCCCTGGGCAGAGAAAGAAAAACAGGAACCTCTGAGCTGATAAGTGGTCACATATTTTGGGGTTAAGAGCAGCGTGAAGGCCAACAAAGAAAGGTGGGAAAAGGCAGGAATCTCAGGTATCTGAATATAACTTTTTGCTCATTATGCCCTCATTTCAATAAAATTAGCCTTGCAGATTAGAAGCACCCTTCATGCACTGAGGCCATGACATATCCTATCCAGAGTAAATATGGATAAAAATCCCTCCTCCTTTTGGGAAGGCAGAGTTGGTGTAAAAATCAGGGAATAGGACCCCAAACCCTTCCCTCCTCAATGAATATTCCACTCGTTTATTTTTACACCCTATGGAACCAACTTGCCAAAAACAAAACAACACCTCGGGCAGCGACTCACCCGAGCCAGCCCACTCTCCCACTGAGATTGTACTATCTATCTCTTACTAAAGCTGCCTCTTACTGTCTTAACCTCTGCATCTCAGCTCTGAATTCTTTCTGGGAGGAGACAAGAACCTGGACACCAGATACATCTACCAGCAACATCTTAACCCCGACTCCTGGACCTGATACAGGAAAAATGTGGGGAGAAAGGATGGTCATGTCCCTGGTCTGGGTTGAGTCCCTGGGACGTACCCCACCAGGGGTGGGTTCTTGACTTCACTTAGGAGAGAATTCAAGAATGAGGCACAGTTGAATAAAAGTAGATTTATTCAGAGAGATAGGTACTCCATAGACAGAGTGCAGGCTGTCTTAGAAGGCAAGAGAAAGGCCATGACGTGGAGGGTTGGGTGCTTACGTCAAAGTAAAGTAGGTAGACGCTCCATAGACAGAGTGCAGTCTGCCTCACTCAAAAGGGAGAGTGGCCACGAGGTGTGGCCACCCTTCCCTTACCAGAGTCATAAATCCCATTACTTAGAATGCCCCCTGACAAGTCTTACTTCACTTGTAACCAATCAGGTACCTGTGCATCAGCTGACCAGGGAGCCCCTACCCTTTGTGTGCACAACCCTTTTTCTAATAAAAGACCCTGTCCATTCAACCTGGTGCTCATACAGGAACTTCTTCTCTGTGTGGCCCTCTGTTGCCTATAGCAGCGTATCTATTAAACTTACCTGTCTCCAACTTTGTTTCTTGTAAATTCTTTTTCTGCTCGCAACACCAGCCCTCCATGTCCCTCAGCAAAGCATTACCTCAAAGCTCCTCTCACTGAGGCTAGTCCTTATTAGGTGCTTAATGGACTCTGAAGGTGGGTGTCTTAGTCCTTCTCCTTTTTGGTTTGCTTAGTGAGAGCCTTTCTCTGAAGCCCCAAGACAGCATAGGACCCCAAGTTCCAACCTCCCATGCCACCTTTGTGTGCCTACCTGTGTCTCACCATATGTGAGATGCTCAAAACATGAAACATAGTTCTGGAATAGTATAGCACACACTCAGGTACTCAACATCTATAGAAAGGATGCTGAAAATCTTTTTCTTTTAAAGAAATAAAACAGCAGTGAAGCCTCTTTTCTATCCTCCAAAGTTCAGAGGGAGATACTAGTCAGAGCTTAATTTTCATCCTTCCAATCCCCATTTTCTTGTTTCACTACAATTGTTATGCATTCATGCAATTTTTCCTAATACGTATATAAATACTATTTGAAAAATTATCATACAACTGATTTCTTATCTCAGTGTTATGTGTTTGAGATCTATCTGGGTTAATATGTATGGTTTTAGTTCATTCTCTTTAACAGCTATGTAATATTCTACCAGAACCCCACAATTTTTGGAGGGGTATAAAATGGACATATATTAGTTTCAGATGTACAACACAACGATTCATCTGAGAAAAATGACCACATAAAATTTCTAGTTAACAACCAATATGATATATAATTACACATTTTTTTTCTTATTATGAGCAATTTTAAGATCTACTTTCTTGGCAACTTTCAAATATGTAGTTCAGTATTATTAACTCTGGTCACTCTGCTGTACATCCCTGAGACTTATTTATTTTATAATGGAAAGTTCTTACCTTGACCTGCTTCATCCATTTGGCTCAGCCCCTGCCTTCCTGCCTTTGGCAACCACCAATCTGTTCTGTGTATCTAGGAGCTCCATTTTTGTTTTTGATTTGGGTTTTTCTCTTTTAGATCACACATGTAAGTTAAAACATTCAATACTTGTCTTTTTTTGTCTGACATTTCATTTAGCATAATATCCTTGAGGTCCATTCATGCTGTTGTAAATGGTAAGACTTCCTTCAATATATATATGCAGATCTCACATTTTCTTTATTCATTCATTTACTGATGGACATGAGATTGTTTCCATATCTTGGTTATTGTAAATAACACTACAAACAATATAGGGGTGCAGACATCTTTTGTGTTTTCATTTTATTCAGACAAATACACAGAATTGGAATAGCTGGATCAAATGCTAGTTCTGTTTTTATACCATGATTTATTTATCCATTTTCATATCAATGAACACTCTGTCATGTACTAATCAATCCCCCAAATCATTGAATTGCTTCAAAAAAGAAAAGAATGAAGAAAAACAGGAAGAAGGAAAAAGGAAAAGCTTAATGTTGTGTATACAATTTTGTTGAACAAATCACACACAGGAAAACATGTAAAGCAACTATGTAGAATATTAATTGCCTGGTGAGAAGTTATCAGATTTGTCCCTTCATTGGCCCTTATGCCACACAATTTCCTGAATAAATTGCTAATTAATTAATAAGTTATTTGTTAATTGTGGTTACAAGTATCAAGTGATTTTTTTTCAGCATTGACTGAAAACTGTTGTATGAAATCTGTGTATCCAGAGACATTACATCATATAAATATTAAGAAATACTTTAGCTAGAATATTTGTTGGTATTAAATTATATGTCAAGTATTTGAAATGAAGTTGAGGTTAAAAGTAAGGTATATTTCCTAAGCAACAATAGTAATTTCTTTATTTCAAAATTCCCTATTTTGTAACTTTAAATTTCTGTTAGTTGTCTTATATCTTCTTCTACCATATGACTACATTATTTGACAATTAAAAGACACAATTTTTTGAATGCATTTAAGGATTTATTTTAAAAATTGATATGCTGCATTATTTTTATCAAGAAGTAACTTGGTCCATCAAATCTCTTTTGCTTGCCTAGGATTCAAGTCAAAGTGATTTTCAAAATAACTGTAAACAAATTTAATCTAAATGTGTTAACAAATATCCCTAGATATTCTAATTATGTATCTTTAATGCCCTGAAAATCTGAAGGGTAATCTAAACTGGCATGTTTTAGAGTATTCAAGAAAGAAAAAAAAAACTCTGCTTTTTATACCACCATTTTAGATTTGATAAAGATTTTGGTGAGGAAAAATGGTATATACTATAAGAATTGACAAAACTCTGAAAATTTCTTTCTATAAAAGATGAAACACACAATAATTAAGTAGAGTGAGTCATGGAGGATCAGTGTTTAGCACTGGATAATTTGTACTTTGTGTTTATATTATAGTATCCAGATTGCAAGTACAGTTGACCCTTGAACAACAGCATGGGTTTAAACAGTAAGGGTCCACTTGTATATAGATTTTTTTTTCAATAGTAAATACTGCAACACTACAGGATCTTCAGCTAGTTGACTACATGGATGTCTGAATCCACGGATGCAGAACTGTGTAACATTTTAGTATTTGCCAAATGGTTTTATAAAGGGAATCCTAAATTTCTAAGTTTTGTATAAGTTAAGCAAAAGTAAAGATTTTCTCAAACAAAAATAGAGGGAATCTGTTGCTAGTAGACCTGCCTTACAAGAAATATAAAGAAGTCATTCAGAAAGAAGGAAAAAGATACTCAGATGTACATAAAGAAAGGAAGAGCATTAGATTAAAAAATAAATTAAAAAATTTTTTTTCTTAATTGATCTCATAGATGACAGATAGTTCAAAATAAAAATAGTAACAATGTATTCAGAGATTATAGCTTACAAATAAGTGACACAAATGATGCAATGTTGTAAGGAAAGATGGTGGAATTAGGAAAACTCTGTTATAAGGTACTTACACTATTGAT